CCTGTCCCTACAGGCCCTTGTTCAAAGCCCCTCTACATGTTTCTTGTAGCCCGTTTAGGCACTGGGAGCTCCTCAAAGGTGTCCTCTTAAGGAGCTTTCTCTTCTCCAGGCTGAACCAGCCCAGCTCTCTCAGCCTGGCTCATACAGCAGAGCTGCTCCAGCCCTCACAGCATCTCTGTGGCCTCCTTTGGTTGAGTTTTTTTCAAAGCCTATAGGGCTTTTGTGCCCTGTAGGCTTTGACACTCTTCCTATAGGTCCATGGTGCCATCCACTCTTTAGCAGAGTGCCAGGGCACCAGCCACGATGCAATGTCCTGGTGGCCTCCCTGCAGCTCTCTGAAAGGTGCATGCCAGGACCCCTCAACTTTTCTTCACTGCAGTCAGCCAAATATAAATATTCATATTTCATTTCTGCCTCATCTTCATTCCCCCCAGGAAGTAAATATCCCTTCCCCTCTTCTCCCATGACTCATCCACAAACCTTCCCACTTCTAAACTGTTTTATTTTGTCTTGTCTCATACTTGTTTATTTTGGATTAAATCCTAACCTCACTGAAGTCAGTGGCAAATCTTCCACTGAGTCAACCAGATCCAGCATTTCTTTTGTCTTGATTAGACTGTGGGTGTGTTTGCCTTGAATATACTTAATCTTGCCCTGGTTTGATTGTAGCTTTTGGATAAAAGCCGTGCTGCATCTCTGTACATTAAGCACTGTGTAAGAATTTGCTGTTCTGTGAGTCTGAAAGGATAATAATTAGTATGAAGGATTTACTGCAGCAGTTCAGGAAAGTGTGGATGGAGGCAAATAAAGGAAATCAAATATAATTTTCCATGTTTCAGACCTACACTGCTCCTGTTATTTGAGTCTCAGGGCTTATAGGGCACACCCACAGGGTTATAGTGCAATACAACTGCTATTGGAGGGAAATGCTGATGCCACAGAAAGCAAAAGGGACTGGGTGACTGCAATACAATAATAATTCAGACATGCTTAATGCAGGGGAAAAGCAGCTCCCGTGACAACAAGCCAGACCTTTTACTGTTCCAACAGCAGAGGAAAACGCAATGGTTGGCAACCACAAAAGAAAACAGCCCACTGAAAAGTTCAGAGATGGAGGCACAGGTCAGGAGCTCTGTGCTCAGATCTGCCTCATCGCAGCACATCTGCCTGGAACTGAGCAGCCCAGCAGAGATAGCCCTGCAGACACTGTGACACTGGGGTCAAACACAGTCAGTCCAGTGCCACATGGGGTCAATGGCTTCACGTTCCCTCCTGGCATCCTCTGCCTTTGACTTGGGGAAACAGTGTCTTCTCCCCACACTTTATTTTTCTGGGGTCAGTTCTGCCCATTGCACTTCTTTCAGTGTAGGGAGTCACTCCCCAAAAGATAAGCACTTCTTCAATTGCCAAGACCATTCTTGAGGGAAATATTAATAATTTGCTTTCTTGTGGGGCCCAAAACTTGACTGAAAAGCACATGGAGGCGAGCCCTGGTCTGGGAGGAATAGCTGAGAGTATATATTGTGTTTCTGTGTGTAAAGATTTGTGAACTTCATGTAAAGATTTGTGAACTTCATAAACTGTCAAACTACACAGGGGGCTGCTGCCAACAGCTGATAAGGTCTTCCAAAGTAACATCCCTAAAGGGTTTACCGTCTTCATGCTCCAAGTCTGCTAGAAGTGAGCAGAGCCAGTGTTGGGCTCACTGCTTGGTGGCATTTCCATTCCTTATTAGAGGGCTTCAGCAGGTAACTACCATACAGGGAGAATTTTCAACTGCATATTTGAGTTTGCAAATGAAATTTTGATCTTCAGATCCAGTAAAGCTGATTTCCACCAATATTTATGGTAACTGAGCACAAAGAGCAAAGAGATTCCAGCAAGGTGAAGCCATAAAATATTTTCTGCTGGCTATGCATGGAAAAGCTTTTTAAAATGCATGGTCCGTGTTACTCAGTGCTTTCAGTTTCTACCAGCTAAGCGGCCTTTAAACTTGCACTGTCAAATCTCACATCAACTTATATTTACCTGGTAGGGAGAAAAAAAAAAAGATAAAAAAGGGAAAAAAAAACCCAACCAAACAAATTAATTAGAAATTTCTATTAGAAAACTAAGCAGCAAATTAAAATTTTTGTGTAGTGCTTAAAATTTAGCAAGAAAAGATACCTATTTTAAAGAGGAATTATCAAATGCTGAACTCAGAGGGGGAAAGTAAGCAAAAATAAAATATGATCTTATGATTGAGATACCCAGGGTCACAATACATTGCAGTACGTTTCAACACAGTAACTTGATATATATTTACTAAATTGTTTGGCACATTCAGTATGTCCCCAGGGGATGGTTGGAGGGAACTAGCAGTACATTTTTCACTCCTTCCCTGTGCATTAGCAGACATAAGGTCACACTAGTATAGCAAAGATGGGTGCAGCCTCAGGCTCATTAGCTCTCAGCAAGCTAGCCAGATGAGGCAGCGTGGTGTTTTCCTTTCATCATTCAAGCTTGAAAGGAAACTGTTGGCAGCCAGTTGCTCTTAAAACAATGAAAATTAAGGTGACAGCAATCTCATTAGCTGAAAGGTAGCATTCAGTGGAGATAAAGATTTCTGAGTAAAGATTTCCCTCTTCTGTAACACACATACACAAACTTATTAGTAAAATATATCTTTTGAATGCAAAAATCCATGCATGAGAAGAGCAAATAGTGCTTGCTATATTACCATATCTGTGCATCAGTGAATTTTATTTCTTGCAAGAAAATCAATGTCTGGATGACTGGCTTCCTTTCAGGATAATGTATATGCCTTAGATGTATATGCATATTTACACAGCAGCAGTTTAATCTGTAACCTTTGCCACAGAACTGATACATTCCCTACAGATGTTTTCTTTGTCTTGCACAGAACTAAAATGCAGAAAACGTGAAGGGATATGAATGATGTTATTCTCAGAGTTTTCTAGGCTTCAGCCATGATGTATACTATGCTTGAAGATTAAATACCTTTTGCATTCCAATTACTGTATGTGAAAGTCTATTGATGATGTTTTATTGGTAATATTTCATTGCTGGAAGCTTTTAAGCTGAGTGGAGCTGTTTGCTTATGTGGATTTCGTAAAGTCCAGGAGATCTGGTGCTGAAGACATATTTGCACTCAATTTTTTATTTTTTCTGTGCTTCATTTCAAATCTGACCTAACACAGAGATGTTTTCCTGCTTTTGTTATATAAGAAGTGGGAACCTGATGGTCTTGATGACTATTTTTGATTTCCCTGGTGGAAACAAGAGATTTGTTTGTGTTTTTCTTAGCGATGGTGTTGTTCCAAGGTGTTAGCAAACACTGGAAGAGCAGCACTTGCTCTGAGTCCAGCTGTCAGATATGAAGAGGTTGATTACCAGGGGCAGTAGATGTCAAGTTCCCTGTAAAAATTTGTGGCACTTCACTCCCTAGGACTGCTTTGAAAATATAGATGCAAAGGGCTAGATTTGCCCTTCAAGTTTATATTTCAGCTTCTAACATATTTTCATAGACTACCTCCCACTCACAGTATTAACTTCCCCTTAATGACTCCCCACCTTAACTGCTGCCTTCCTATTTTTCATGATCTTCCTGATTCCTATCTCTGCCCAGGTCTGTAGGGCACGTTCTCTCTCCAAGAAGCAGTAATCAAATCATCTCTGTTATAGCTACCCCAGTAGTGCTGACGAACCCAAGCTGCCTGTCAGTGCTATCAGGAGAGGTTCTCATACCTTATCTTACAAAATGCTGAGGATCAAACCTCCTGGAGTCATTTTCCCAACACTCGTCTTGCATTCGACTTTTGACAGAGTTCGGACAAAGAGCTGCGTCCTATGGAACACTCTTGGTTTTGCCTAAAATTATTGTTCCCTATATTTTTTTGTTTTCTTTTTTTTTCCTTAGCTTACTTATTTGTGAAATTTATCAGAAATAATATACCGCTGTATAAAATAGCCTCCACAGTTCTTTTGTATAAGTAATAACCAGGTTGGACAGAGTTTGCAACTAAGGAAAGTAGGTCAAAACAATGTGACTAAATCATCCCAAAACAATCATTGGAAAGAATCAGATTCACACCCACAGGGTTTATGTGAACAGATTCCAACCTGCCAGGGCTTTGGCATCTATCACCATCTCTAGTACTTAACAGCAGCATTCACCAAGAGTTTATGAGTCAAGGAAACAAAAGTCCAAAGCCTAGAAACCAGTTTTCATCTGCCCTTTTAAAAAGGTTCATTTGATTTTCAGAGTAATTTATATTCAGTTCTGCTTACCAGGTTCAACTCAGTAGCCAAATCAGCTTTTTAAGTGTGGATAGGCTTCAACACCTCTGGAAAGTCTCCAGAAAAACAGAGGAGAAATGGGAAAATGTCTTGGTCATTGGTACTTTCTATTTTTTGCAGACCAAGCAGAAGGTCAGCATAGTTATCTACTGAAAATCCCTGTGAGACACTCTGCCCCAGATTAGAAATTTCTCCAGGGAAAGACTAAGCCCAGAGCAGTCAGGACACTGTCCAGTGGCCCATGGTGCCCATGCAGGGTTCACAGGAACCAGCCACACTGGGTCTCATGGCTTGTCCTCCAAAGGGCAATTTTCTGTCCTCATTTATCTTGATTAAGCCTCAGAAGCCAAAGGATGCAATGTTCCTAAAATCAAACAAGCATCTATGGACCAGCTAGTTACTGATTTTGCAAAGGCTGGTGTTTGCCTTCTCACCTGCTCCTCCTGCTGCTGTGCCCACTCACCAACCTGTGCGTCACCATTCTGAACATATGAGGCATTGCACTAAACAATTTTAGCTATTCTGCTTTTCATTTGTGTTCTAGTCTGAGACCTCAAGAAGTGCAAGGTTGTCCATCTTTCAGTTATAAGGATTTTGTATTTATACTGGACATGAATCTGAACCCAAAGCAAAACAAACAAAAAAGAAAAAAGAAAAAAAAAAAAACAAAAAACAAACAAATAAACAAGCCCTAATGCCAGTTATTTTCACCAAATTTGAGCTATTTGTATCATGATTTGGAATCAAACATTGCGCTTGGCACTATTTTCTGCAATGAGACAAAATGAAATCTTGGATTTGAATACTCCTACACATAGAAAAGTCTGAATCTTTAAATGCGTGACTTGTCCTAAATTTACACAGCACCTTTCCTCAGGAGATCACTGTTGTTTGACTGACGGCAACTCCAAAGCACCACAATGTGGAAGAAGCCTACAGGAAGGGAAACTGAGGCAAGTTAATTTAAAAGCAGGATAAGTCAGGAAAAGGAGACTTTAGTGACCCAAATCCTCTCTCACTGCAGAAAAGAGAGAGAATACAAGATCTGCTTAATTTCTTCATCAAGCCCACTGTGTTCATGGAGTTCATGCTAACAACCGATTGATGCCAATCATCGTTTTCACCTTTAAAAGAGCTGATGAACATGACACCTCACAGAAAGCATTCCCTTAGACTCTTCACTTTTACCAGATGAAATATTTTCCAACCTGAAGTAACAAAAAGGAGTGGGGAAAAATTAAAGAAAAGGTGTATTATTTTCATTTTTTGAAAGAGGTAAAAAAAAGCTACAGAACTTCTTTGAATCCCACCCTATATTTCATATTTCTCCAGTGAGGCTTGCATTCCTTTATTCAGATTCCAAAAGCAGAGATAATTTGTTCCAAATGTTTTCAGAAGCAATCAGCAGCATCAACTTACATTCTTTCCAGGGTTGGGAGAAAACTGTGAAATCTTCTAAACACTAATGGAGGAGTAAGCAAGGGAGAGAAACGGGGGAGAAGGAAAGGTGGAAGACAGTGAGAAAATAAATAGAAGGAAAAGAAGGAACAGAGGAAAGAAAAAGAAGAGGAAAAAAGCAGAAAGGAATAGGCTGATGATCTATTTGTTTATATTGTTACAGTTATGAATCCTTGAGCAGATCTGGAGAGACTTACCACTTGCCAGCAACATATTTCCATTGGCAAGGTAGCAAGCAGTTCTTAGCATGATATTATGTAGCAGAATATGATTGAGAAATAGGCCATAAAATTATATATTTATTGCAAGACTGTCGGTGAGATTTTTTGCAGGGAAGCTGAACATACAACTCCCTGTGTGTTGCATGTCTATTTTGTCTGCTAGAGATCTTAACTGAGCTACTCATCAGTCATTGTGCAGTCTTAGAAGTCTGGACAGATGTTACTAGTGCAAATAAAGACAAAAATGCTGCAATTTGTCTTCCATACAAGCCACAGGGCTATTGAATGGCTGCCTTTAAGACGCAATGTGGTCTGTGAGCTCCCTCTGAGAGCAGAGGGCTCGCGGCGTGCTGCCTGGTTCGCCGCTGGCTCTCTGTGTGGCCTTTGACAGCTCATTTAATCCCTGGCTTCCCAAACCTATAAAGTAAGAACAGTAATTCTTGCAGTGTTACAATACTAGGGATTCATCCTGTGCAGCTGTGATCCTTGCCAGGTACAGGTCACCACCATGCCGTTTACTTACGGAGCTGAAGAGCCAGCAAGCAATATGCCAAGTGGCACCAGTCTGCTAGTGGCTACTTAGAGCCCATGCTCTCTTCACCTCCCCACAAGCTCAAACACCACAGCAAATCCAATAGAGAGACAAGCTTACCCTCCTAGTGTTTCTGAACTGCAGACTTTTCTCCAAGCCTCCAAAAGGTCAAACATCTGCTCCTTCTTTCCCTGGCCTCTGCCTACCCTCCCAAGCTGGGCATGGAGCCATACCCATGGTCCTTCCTCCCATGATGGTTCCCACTAATACAGCCCCACATCCCAGTCGCCATGCCTGTGAGCGCAGCCCCTTATTGCCAGCAAATGAACAGCAAATCATTGGTGGTTAGGTTTAATGGGCAGGTATTAACTCTTGAGCTTTCAAAAGCTCTAATTAAGCCTGACTTCCATTTGAAATCCACCCAAAGTGGGAGAGTAGGGCATTTGTTTTTACACAGCTGAGGAATGTGCGTTTAACTATCTCAGGAAGGAAAAAGAAATGAAAACCACTTGGAAAGCTGGTAAACTCAACCACCTGTACTCCTTCAGCCTCTGCAAAGTTCCTCTCCCCACTGTAAACCAGGGCTTATGAACAGCTACAAGAGATGGCTGGTGTAAAACTGGTGTTTAATACAATGCCCATTGCAAAAAAACAGCAGTGCTTGGAGAGTTTTTGTCACTGTCCACCCAGGGCCAGCAAATTTAACCACTCTGCTCTTGTGTACCATAACATGCTTTTGCTTCTTCACTCCTGCTTCCCAGAGGTCCAGATCCCAAATAAGACATCTAGACTAAGCTGGGCAAACTTGACTGACTAACTATTTGGACAGGTTTGCTTTAATCATAAACAATACAGTAAATTAATGCTAGCCATGCTGAATTGTTTTAATGACTACATGCTTTCTGCTCCATGCCCAGAACAGTGCTGTTTTGTCTTCTGCCAATTACACTGGCCTCTAGGACATTCTCCTGCAGCTTGAAGAAATGTATGTTTAGAGAGATGCTAAAGGGACCCCAAATTTAGTGGTCTGGAAAAGACCAGACTCTAATATCAGAGCATGAGTGAGCCTGGGGACTGGTGCATGTGAACGAGGTGTGAGTTTGCAAGACTTTTCTAGCATCCAAACCAAAACTGTGCAATTAGTTAGAAAAGTTTTACACTAAAAATACAAAATAAAGCCTAGAAATTATATGAAAATTAGGAGGTTTTAATGAAAAAAAATAGACTGAAAACAAGAAGAAAATATTTTGTTTTCAGTGGCAACTGAAAAGATGATGCTTGGTTAAAACAAAAGAAAAAGGAGGAAAAGAAATTCAAAACAAAAAAATTATGGTTTACTTGTTGAAAAAAAAACCCAGCTAAATTGAAGGATAACAAGTATTTTTGACAAAATGAAGTCATTTAATCAACTTACAGAAGGGAGTCTTGAGATTTGAAACTCCAAATGAAAGAACATGATTCATGGGAAGGAACTGGGAAATGGGAGGAAGAGCAAAATGCATACTAAAATTAAACTCTTCATTGCTCTGAGATGCCTCCACCTTGGCAAGTGTTTGATAATTAAACACAGATGTACAACCTGTACAAAATAAAAATATATGTTCCTTAACTCAGATTCAATGATAAGCTTTTCCTCCACCACTGCAGAGGGGAACCTCTATACCTGTTCAGAGGCAAACTGAACAGGCAGATTTTGCCTAAACAGATTATTTTCTCATTCTTTCCACCTAGCCAGGTATAAAGCATGTAAGGAAATTGACATACACAGCTACAGTTTGTCTGCTGCTTGCACACCCTGTGTGTAGGCATACAGTAGCACTCGTGAGTTGTCACTGTCATCTGAGTCTGAGGTTGTCCAGCATGCTCCAGCACAACACCCACCAGTGAGCAGATAGCATGGTGTCCTGTGATAAGTCAGAGATGGTTATGGTGGAATACAAGGGTCTGCAAGGCATCCACATTCCTGCCAGTGACTTTCCAGTAATCCAGAAAGCTCTCCCAGGCTCTAGTTTTCAGTCTGTGCTATGCTGCTCTGTAAGAGTCTAGCGGAATGTGAGCTGCCTGTGGCAAGGGGTTGAAGCAGGATGATCTTTAAGTTCCCTTGCAACCCAAACCATTCTGTGATTCTATGATTCAGGAATTTCTTTCCTAGAGTTCTTTTCTGCAACCTCATCGAACAGTCTGAAAAATTGAAAAAAGCAACCAGGCATCTCCTCTAGAGCAACTAGTCCCTCCTACTCCTGTCTGAAATGTTTGCAATTAACTTCCCAATAACACCCATTTGGAAGAGCATCAGCTTTACTATTTTTTCACACCCAGGCCTCAATATGACATGAAATCCAAACAAGGCATTTTTTTCCAGCCACCTACCAAGTTTCCCCAGGATTTCTGAACAGAGCCAGTGTAAGAAACTATGGCTTGATCTACCCACAGATACTCTGTCTGCAGCCCATGGGGTAAATATCTTACAGATTTTGCCACAACCAGAATTTCCTTTTGGGCAAGGTTTTTTCCCGAGAATCTTAAGAAACTTTTATTCCTGTGACACCACCAATTCTGTTGGACTCCAACTCCAGTCCCTCTAAGTGTTACTGGCTGAAAGCATTATTGAAAGTTTTGAAGCAAGGGGAATGTAATGCAGGAGCAGTCACTAAGGTTCAACTCTGACCTAAATGACACGCAACCCTCAAAGAATTTAATCTTCTTACCCAGTCACTACTGCTGTATTGCAGTCCTGGTAAACCAAGGGACCTAGTGGTAGACCACTTGGAATGTTGTAGTGTGCTTCACTCCAAACTTGTATTAAATGAACTTGAATGTCATCCTGGTGTGACAGTACTCCTCACCTTGTTTTAGGTTCCTTTTACACATCCCTACATAATTTTTCACAGAGATACTGGCCCAACTATAGCATTGTGATCAAATACTATACCAAAACAAAGCATATTCTAGCACTTCATCTCTGTCTTCCAAAGAAAATTTGTTTCTGCTATGTATTTTAGCCAAAAATGTGGTGAGATTCTGGATCTGGTTGAAAGGGATATACTATACTGATACTATACTGTATATACTATATACATAGGGTATATACTATACTGATATATTTCTCCACTTTGTCTTCCCGATTTCATACTGTGACATGATGGAATAGCTGCTCAATGTGTGCTGCTGTGACACTCTCCAGCTTAATCACTGCCATCCATGTTTTCAGGTCACAAGATTACAGCTCTGGAATTGAATTCAGAATGGGTTTAGGTCATTCTGTTGTTTTATTATTACTAGCACTATCATTATTACTCATTACTGTTGTTATTATTCCTAAATACTTAGATATATTTTACTCAACTGGTCTTTTAAAAGGACTTCTCTAAAGATTGAATTTGTTGGCCACTTCTTATGGTTTTGACACAGTTACTATCAAAAATTAAATCAAACAATATTTGCTCATGCAGACAGTTTCTGAATGAATTTCAGCATTTTCCCCTGTCTTTCTCTGACCTCCTGTCATTCCATTCATGATGTGCTGGGTTCCATTTTCTCTAGTCATGTGAAAATCGGCTCTTGCAGTTTAGCCAGTTATTCCTGTGTACTTCATAGATTTTTGTATTTGTAGTAAAATTCTAAGACTGGTTTTGCACTGCCCATATTTGAACACAAAGCCTTCTATCCTAAAAGCATATCTCCAGCTGGTGATCTGCAAGTTCACACAAGCAGTTGGCTGGTGCTCACAAGGCAATGGTGAGGCTTTGTCCTACTGTCCTGGGTTCAGCAGTAGCAGTCATGTTTTTCCCTTTGCGGTAGCTGGTGCAGTGCTGTATTTTGACTTCCAACCTGGGAACAGTGTTGGTGAAGCCGATGTTTTCGGTTGTTGCTAAATGATGTTTACCCTGACCAAGGACTTTGTGAGGCTCATGCTCTGCCAGGGAGGAGGGGAAGCTGTGAGGAAGCAGAGATGGGGCGCCTGACCCGGGCTAGCCAGGGAGGTATTCCATGCCACAGCACGTCATGGCTGGGGTGGGGGGTGACTGGGAGTTACCCGGAAGGACACGGGCTTCCGGGTGGGACTCATTTCTTGGCCAGTGGTATCGTATTCTCTTCCCTTGTTATTTTCTCTTATCATTGTTGTTGTTGGTAGTAGTGGTGGTGATTTGTGTTGTACATTGGTTGCTGGACTGTTCTTGTCTCAACCCGTAGGAGTTGCACTCTGTCGATCCTCCTCCCCATTCCTCCGGGAGCGGGGAAGGGGAGAGCCCTGGTGGGGGGGGCGGCCCTCTATTGTTGTCAGCTCGGCACCACTCACTGGGAGTGAGTGAACAAGTTGCCTGACTGGGTTTAAACCACAACACCTACCCAGCCTTGGATTTATTAGTCTCTTTTGATTGTGTCAGTGTTTAGTTAAATTGTTCCTGCAAAATTTCTTTTTCTGCTTGCCTGTTTCCATATTTATAGACCGAAGTTCCTCCTGTAAGTCTACCACGGTTTTCATGAGCCACATTAAATCCCCTTACCCAACACATCTATAGCCACATCTCCACATGTTGCATGCATTATTGTCGCCAATTTCCATTGCAAGTATACCCTTCTTCCTTGGTTAAACTGCACCAAGAAATTCTCCAGGATCTTAAGTAAATTCAGGAGTTTCCACTGCAGTCCTGGGCCTTATTTTGCTGATCTTAAACTGCCACCTCCTATAGAGCTGTGTCTTTTTCAACCGTCGGTTGCTCTGGGGATGTGGTGTTTGGGCATGCTAGGAGGATTAGTCTCCACAGGCTCTTTCCAGGATCAGGTTGGATCTGCTTGGGTGTGCTCTGGCAAGCTGAGATGAGCCCTTGCCATCACATGCCAAACAAAGGGCCTCTACCAGACTTGGATAACTTGTATCTTTCCTGGGGATACAGTGCTGCAGTGTCACTGAAGATAAAGTTGGCTGCCTGAAAATGCCCCTGACACTTCCTTTTCTCCCTTGCACACTTTTTAGTTAGTCTCCCAAGTTTTCCACTTGGGACTATGAAATTAAACAGAAGCAAGAACTCCCAGGGAGATTTACCCTTCAAAAATAATTGGCTTCTGTGTTACTCAGGCTGGGATAATCCAGCCTTTCTGTTCCAGGTCTCTGTTGGTTACAGACAATGTGGAAGATACGTGTGCCCAGTCTTACCAAATCTAACTGGCCCCGTTCCTCATCTATTGACTCATCCAGACACACTGGTCTGAACACCTTTTGTTTCTTTCAGAAGCTGATGTTTTCAGCTCCCTCAATTCATACTGCAGTGCATCTCAGGTAGCAAATCCCAGATCAGGCCATAACTTTCTTCACACCCTCTACTAGGCTTGGAGAAAGTTTGTACCTCCCATTTCCAGGCCAGGATGGGAGCTTTATCAGAAATGTCCCAAGTCTGTTCAGATTT